ATGAAACTCACAATAGATATTTGTTCCTCTACCCTGCAAGCTTTGCCCAAACTACCCATATCCTCAAGCTTTGAATGTATCACTCCAAACGTATCAAATTCAATCTCCTCATACTCGTTCATTTTCTCCCACTCCTTACCAAACCACCCTTGATTTCTCCACCGACAGCGCCCTTCATTGCCAGACGATACGCAAATTGCTTCGCTTCACCAACCAGTCTGCAGGACAACAGAGGCTTCGAAATCCAACGTGACTGGTTTCAGAATTCCTCTCATAGGCTTACACCCATTTTTAACAAAATATCTTGAATAAGATTTCCGCCGCTGATAACCCGGCCTTCTGTACTGCTGGTCACCGAGGCTTGGTGTACATCGGGCATAAGCGTTTACTTCTTCTACTTTAAAGATTACGTTTTATTTAGGGTGAACGGACCCGCTATTAGAGGTAGTGGTTGTGTCACCTACACCAAATCACTTTTCAGTGCTACTCATTACGAATACCCGAGTCTTGATGTGAATGACACAACCTGGGTATCCATAGTTTTCACCGGGTGTTCCTGTTGAGCTTTCCCTCCCTTCTCATGCCGAGTTCTCGCATCTTTGCTTCCTCTTTTCCCGTGGAGATGCAGCCCCAAATCAAGCACGGTGAAATGGCACTCCACCTGTCTGAACTGCTGCAAGAAAACCGCACTTTTCTTTATCCGGCACCAAGCCAACAAGTACGGTAGCAAATGTTTTATTCCAGAACATCATCGGACTGAGTATTTACACCCAAATGTGATACTGTATGCTTAAAAACTGCTATCTAACATCTCAACTACGGCGATATTTTTACGCCTTAGACACTCTTTTTCGAGTCGTTGCCAATCATCAGCCCTTGCTGCTGCGTTGGTGTGGCTTGTAGCATGATTGGAATCATACATCGCAAGCACATCGCAATCGCGGCCACTTTGGGGTTCATATGTTATGTCTGTGTCTATATAAACGTAACTTGTTTATCAGGAAGATCCCCATATTGCAGTAGTTTGAAAAAATATAACGTGTCCACAGAATTGGAGCCTGAGTGCGCAAAACACGATGTCACCTATTCTCACACCTAATGCAAGCGTGAACCAGATGCACAGACATTTTACTTCATCAAGCTGGTGTATTAAAAGTGTGTTCAGTAGTCGAGTCAAAAGGTTTCGAACATTCAGCACTTTGAACGAGACGCTGTTATTTCATCCCGCACACGGTAACGACGGTGCAAATTAGCTTGAAATATGCAGTCCTCGACAGCGTTACAACTTCTGGCTCATTCGGATATTTCGGGTTGTGCCCCAATGTTTGTCGGCTGATTCAAATTTTCCGAACCCTCTTGAGTCCGCCAGAATCCCCCTAAGTGTCTGCTGTGCAGCTAGACTTGTCAGGTTGTCTGCGGTGAGCCCAAAGTTTTATGAACAAGGCATTAAAGAAGGCGGAAAGTCATGTAGGAGAACGGAACTTGCATTTGTGGACGCTTAGTTGTAGTATAGGAGATCTGTAACTGTTTATTACCTCCTGGAAACTGTTATCTCGTGAAGTACGATTTCTTTTGGAGACGTGCAGAAAAATTTCCGAACTGAGCCCGAATTCCGCGAATTATCTAAAAATGCCAAATCGCACCCAAAGTGTTTTCTGGCTCGGAAGGGTATGCATATCTGACGAACCTTTCATGCTGTAAAACCGTTACTGTTATGCCGCTTGTGATCTCTTAATTAGAAGAAGCACTCACAGTTTACAAGTTCTACAGACTTCATGCTCATAATTAGTTTTAAGTGTTCCTTGCGATCACCCGCCCTCCAGAAAAGCAAGTGGCGGATTTAGATTGCTAAACTACCTATCGAGTTTTCTCATCCTACCTTTATGTTTATTTTCCCGCCGGTACGAACAAACGAATTCCTGCCTGCTACAAATACCAACCAAGTTACCGCCTCTGTGTGGATATTCTGCTGCTTCGGCCAGACAGTTTTCGATGATGATAAATTATGTGGTGTGCAAGTTACCATCTTTTTCTGTATTTTGAGCGAATCATTTCCAACAACGCACAACATTTTTCTGATTTTCGTTTCGTATGGGAAATACGAATAAAATTCATCCTTGCATAAAACTGACGTATGCAGAAACTTCAAATATCCATAATCTATTTCTATGCTGTACGTTAATTTTTCTCACACAAACCCCGCTGAATATCTTTGATCAGTGCTGCTTTAAAAGGCCCAACAAAAGTGAGGAAAAAATCCACTCTCAAAAAGAATTCTATCATTTTCAGAGTTGGTGGAGGGACGGATTCCCAAATGTAGAGGGTTCGACTAGGGTTTTTGTACTTGCCAGTGATGCCTTCCCTTCTGATCCCTTCCACGGGCGGGGGGGGGTGAGTAAGGCAGTTTGGTGCACAAACCATTATTAAACATGTGATGGGCTTGTATGTGGTCTCTACGCAACTCAAAACAAGGTAGTGGAAATAGGTCAGGCCAGTTTAAGCGTTCTGCATAAGTGACGTTGAAGGACTGGTTGATTTACTTAGCGCCCACACTTTGAATGCATTCTGGCTGGTGCTGTTCATGTTCTAAACGTTAGATCATCACTTGGATGCTATATTCCAGAGAAGGTTTGAAATATGTCCCACAAAACATCCGTGACACATTCTCATCTGAGCACTGAAAGGTTTAACGTGGGGTTGACAAAAACAGGAAAGGTTCAGCAGCTGACCCTATGCAGATAGAGGTGGATCAAGTAGCACGACTTACAACCACTTTCGAACCCTGATAACGGGAGACCCTGAGTGATGGCATAAGATCATTTATGTAGAGGTGTGGATAGACGACATGATCCATATGACCAACTTCCTTTTGGTGTTGGCCTTCGGCGATCATGCACCCAATCTTCAATTTATACATTAACCTTCCTGTCCCGCACCTCTCTCCCTCGTTTTTCACTGTTTTCGCATTCTCGCGTCATTCATACTCTTCGTCTGATGACTTTTCCATCCACGGCTAGCGGTACATTTCACTCGGACATTTAATTTTCATTAGGCCTCCTTTTTCAGGTGAACTAGTGGCTCCAAAAGGCGGCAAGCCAACCCTTTATGATAGGCATTGCTATACTCAGAGTCTAAAGCCTTGAGCGCATCTGCTACAGCCACGTGACCGATTAAGCCAGGCACCAAGCAGACGAGTACGATCGGGAAAGGGTCCAAGATTCGACGTATGTTCGTGTGTTATCATGCTGTACAGAATTAGTGGCGGAACGACGTACCCTCCCCAGTCGCTCTTAGGAGAGGAAGGTTACTTGTCAGTGACAGAACAGGATGACAAGACGCTGAAGGTACCGGCCAACTTAAAGCGGCGTGAACTGGTCGCAATAAAACCCCTTCTTGTCATCCTCCCCGAAGCCTACTGTTCGGGTCCAAGGGATAAACGTGATGATCTAACGTGGCTGCGAGTTCCGGACCAGGGACACCCCCCTGAGTAGTGACAAGGTACTGTTCGATCTGCACCCGGCCAACTGTAGCAGGCTGGCCATGCTGCTAATAGCTGATATTTAACTGCTGGAAAGAATATTGTGTCCGTTAGTTTTCAGTAAAAACAGGAAATATTTCTGCTTTTCTGGCTTTCACGGGATGAAGTATGAACTCTCATTGTGCATCTGTTAATCGGCCCGAAGAAGATGCGAGATAACCGTAGTTTAAATTTCGACTCCCTTACACTAAAGCAAGAACTACGAGACCACAGGCACCCACCAACTTTGAAGTCCATTAGTTGACCTATATTTAGGTATTTTAAGTGTTTATCGGTCGATTTCAAAATTGATTGTGTTTTCTACTTAATATAGTGCGTTACAAGTGCTTTCGGACAGCTAATTCACACTTCAAAAAGACGACACATTAAAACTGGTTCATGACGCTAACATTTCAGGATAAGTAGCTTCCGGGAAAGGACAGATTCAAAGTGTTCCCCTTATTTGGCTGTCACAGCAAAAGGCCTCTTGAACTGCCGGGCGTCTTGGGAGTAGTATAAAATATTGAGATTAATCACGACCAGCTAGTTAACCTTTTGAAACATGTTATTATCATCACTATTAACCATTGGAGGGTGAAAGTAGACCAGTTGTGCCTAGATGAACATAGAAGAACCACGAATCTGGTTTGCCAAAAGTTATAATAATAATATTTATTTCACATAACTTAGTGTAGATGAATGTATGACATTTTTTCCAGGTGTTGAAGCATCGTGTCAGCCTACCTTGGAATCTGGCCCTGAGTTTCTGTAACAGTCTACTCTAGATATCATGATGCGCACCTACACAAACGAATCGAGCAGAGTTCTGTCTGTCGGGCTCACTGATAAATATATGGTACACTCAAAGAAGTGTCACGAGAAGCAGAATATAATTACCCCAGGTGGATCCAGTGATACACATATGAAAGGCTATACGTTATAATACAAAATGGTAATACCAGTGCTACGGATAATAATCGGTTGCTTGGATGTTGTCTTTCTGGCACTGCCCGCACCGATTTAGTACGCTCCAGTGTTAGTTCAGGGAGTGATACATGCTGGTACTCCACAATTTACACTGGTTGGTTTAATTGTCGTGATACATGGAAGTAGGACGAGAGACCCTGTAAAATCCAGAACCACCCAATGAACATGAACATCAGACAGTGGTTAGGAGGCAGACGTCGGAGCGGGCATCGGCACATTACATTTTCGGTTTTAAATGCAGGATTAAAATGACACTGCGGCGAACAAAATTCCAGTTTTTAGGTCGGACAGATAAACGACATTCGTTTTTACAAGCATTAGGAATGTTGTACAAAATGTGTAGGAAATAATAGAAAGTAGACTGTTTCTAATGTGGGCGGTTTATAAATAATTTCGTGAAATATCCACAAAGTATATCGGGATACGAGATGCCGTCAGAACGTCAAAAACAGAATTCTCCGGGAAGAACGCCAGTTTTTACACCTCTTGAGGGCATATGACACAAAGTGGTATATTCACTGTTCAAAGTGTTACGAGCTGTCTTCATGTAAGCTATACTTGGCCTCGGTTTTAACAATTCAAGACCTGTAAAATCCTTCTAATGTTTTGGGAGTTGAGCTTTGCACCTGGTATTATGTAGGTTGATTATTGAGTTTACAAAGTACACACATAAGAGACTACGTAGTTGACTCCACATACATACATGAAAATGTACGTAAAATCCGAACCGATCTAAAAAACATAGGGACTTCTCTCTTCTCCAGATTAGATAGAGTAGCAGTTCCTTTCCATATCTTTTCGCGCTTCTTTCTTTCCCCACTTGTAGCAACAGCTCGACGTGGACATTTGGTGCTGAATTTCAACCTGAACATAACTACTTAGTAGAGACAATACTTGCTGTTTGACGCCAATAGTTATTGGACTGCTCCCACTCTTTGCGATTTCTGAACCATCTTCGCGATTAGCCCATCTACTGGTCACGATTCCTCTCGCAACGCACCGTCTGAGCTTTCATAACAGTTATAGTGGCACAAAAATTCTGAACAAATGATTAAGCCAGTGACCAATTTACATATCGGCCAATATGTGAAACCTGTGTGATGGGAAATGAAAATCCATGCCTATCTCATAAATTGCAGCAACTTTTAATCAGATTAAGCACACCGACGACTTGATATGTTAATTATTAGTGCTAAACACTATTTTGTAAACTTTCAAGAATTATCGATTTGACGATGCTTGCGAACTGGTATCTCTTATGTTAAATCCACTATGTGATGATAAAAATCATTATTATCTCAGCTTTAACACTCCTTATACGCTGAAAACTGATATTTTCTTGTCCGTTTCATAACTAGCGGGATCTTCTGATGTTTTTAATAGAGTTTATTGACATACCCTCTGTACCAATCAGGATGACGATGCCTATAAACTGGCTTCTCCCATGTCAAATTACTAATGTGAGAACAAAACATTTGTTCATTATACATCACCGCCTGGATACAGAAGCTCAGTAACCTCGTGTGAATCAACTGTCGGTGGCAATGAAGCAGTCCTAAGAAATGTTGTAGATGTGCGAGGTGAATCGTAAAGTATAATCCAGATGAAGTTCACGCGGGGGGTAAATATCTATCATCAACAACATTGTTAGTGGTGGTATCCGAGGCATTAGGTAGAACCTTTTGGTTGCTAAAAACCTGACAAGGAGCTGAAAATAAGTAATCTGGACGAATATGGCCAGTGACTCAAGACCAGATATGCATCATTGCAATTCACTGTAGATGAGCCTGCTGGCGGAAGAAGCAGGAGGATTCAAAGACTTGGCCACCAACTACTATCAATGTGATGATGCCTGTAAACTGGCTTCTCTCATGTTAAATTATTAACGTGAGAATAAAAGTTTATTATTATTATTATTATTATTATTATTATTATTATTATTACTTCAATACGGTTACACCAGCTTTGGTAGAGACATCAACAAGAATACAGAGAAGGAGGATCATAACTTGATAAACCTATACATGGCCTCAGTTACGACAGTTCAAGACCTGTAAGGTACTTCTAATGTTTTGGGAGTCATATTCAGAGCTTTGCACCCTGTATTATGTAGGTTGACCATCGAATTTACAAAGTGCACGCATAGGAGACGCAGTTAGTGTTTTGGGGCAGGAAATGGGCATAGATAGCTTGTTGACGTGAGCAGCAGAGTATCTTTAATTCCCCTTTCGTTTGTAGGAATGGTAAGGATATCACGCTCATTGATAATTTTATGAGAACAAGTCAGTAAGGTAACGAACACCACACTGAAACTAAGCAATACGAAGAGTTAGTGAGTAGACAGGATGCCTTTCAATCCCTGCAGCAGGTGACTGCGATGGGCATCTTCGCTTTAACTGGTTGAAGGGATATTAACCAGGGGAAGTCTAGCCTGTTCAAAACAACCAAAATGAAGCGCGGGAAAGTCTACACGGCGGTGCATAGTCCGAAACGGCCATGCAAGCCATCAAACAGAGAAAGTGGTGAGATGATTGCGGTCTTCATATAATCGTTCAAATGATTTAGTGTCTGATGACAGGGATTTGTCAAGTCGACGACTGGGAAGCAAGTGCATGACAGTGGGTGTACTTGCATCTCTTTTCAAAGGCTACAGAAATCTTCATACAGTTTTGTTACAATATCAGTACGGTTGAAATATGAGGGTTGCCTAGGTGCGTATACATGTGTAAGTAAAAACATACAAATGTGATTGAGTTTTAAGTACAAGTCGTCAAGATGGGCCGTTGCTATGCGGATTGTGGTCGTAAACGTCGATCAGTCTAAAATTTATTAGTACTTTGTGGTTAACAAGGTGTACTATAACTGTGTCCATCCGACTTAATCGGAGCAAAGCTCATACAGTTAAATAGATTGACTGAGTGGACCAAAGACTGCCAACTTGCTCAGTTTTGGTGGGATAACCAAATAAGAAAACCTAACATTTTCTTTGCTAATAGGATATATTTCCAGTTTGGACTAATCAAAAGAAGTGGAAGAGGCTTCTTCACGGAAAATATAATCGGAAATAAACACTTATAAGGATAAAAAGTGTAAAGACTCAAAAAGCCTTCAACCTACCGGAACCTACTACCTTTCCACTGAAAACAGCAGCGCGTAACTCAAACCTCACGCTAGAAAATGTTGGAGGGGTAGAGTACGTTATGTTCTTAGTTTGATGTTACTGAATGTAATCATAGCAAAAAGTTAATACAGAAGTTCTCTGTCAGTTGCAACCTCCTTTGACCATTAGTTCGTTTTAAGTTACAAAGCATATAGCTTTTTCTCCTCTGATATAAATCTTTTCTTCTCATACAAGTTATACTGCTAGGCTGGTAGCTATTTTTGCTTGTATAACACTTAGTTATAACTAAGTAAGCAATTCAGTAAGCATAGTTATACTTTAATTCGGATGAAAATCAAGTTAAATGCCATAAGATCTTAAGGTTGAGTCAGAGTAAGTCAAAGTCAGTGTAGCCTGATACGTTTAAAACAATCATGTAGTATTTTCAAGTACATGCCGAAAAATAACGAGTGACCTGGTGATACATGCAGTTCCAGACCGTTTGCTATCTGTGCAAGTAAAGTATTTCATTCACATCTAGTGTTCATTATTAAGGATAGTAAGCCAGTTGTCCTTTGCTAATCATTGCAGTACACGTCTTTTTTCCAGTTCTCAGTTATAAGGATAGTTGATCTGTGTTAATCCTTGAGAAAGACATCTCTGTGACGACCTAGTCTCACCATGAACGCGTTAACCAAGGGTCCTGATACTACCTGCTAAGACAAGGAATTTCAGTCTCTGACCACACGATGGGAGAAACGCAAATACACACTAGTTTGATTCGATCGAGGTTTTCAGATTTTTTTGTGATGCACTCGGAGATAATCAATCCCAGCAGGGGAGAGAAGATAGGACAAGTTAGTACCAAAGTTATTGTTAAAGATACGGAATACCAGAATGAGATCAATCCGTTTCGTTCGGTAAGAGTGGGGATAAGTTTAGCCGATCTAATCGTTCCTCAGGGGGCAGATTAGAAAAGCCTCCCATTAGCTTAGTATCTACCCTTTGAACACGCTAAAGTACGTCAGCATCCTTTTTTAAACATGGGCTTGTAGCCTAATTGCAGTAATCTAAGTGAAATCTAACATATCGTGATCAAAACTTCTGAAAGCTCTGCAGATGAACCATAATACACGGAGGTCCTTTGCTGCAGCTGCATTACAGTGCACCGAGGTTTTCTAATCATGACATGATAACACCTAGGTCTTTCAGTTCAACGACTCGGAGTAGTGGTGAACCATCAACGGAATACCAGAAACAATTGCAAATGTTTATTGTTATACTTGTACCAAAGTCTATTTTCCAGGCACCAACGTTTGGACTAACCTACAAGTTCACCCAAATCCTCTTAAAGTACATACATTTCAGCATCGCTACGTATGGCTCTCCAATGTTTCACATCATCGGCGAATAGCAGCACCGAGATGAGCATTTGTGGTAATTCGTTGACATAGAACAAGAAAAGTAGAGGGCCTAGGATTGTTCCTTGAGGAACTCGACTCATCACAGGTTTCCACGCTAACAGTATCCCATTAACCCTCACTCTTCTTTTTTCTAACAGAAAGTCCCTAATCCAGCACCAAACCCAAAAGAGGAAAATCTCCCCAGTAATTTCACAACAGACACTTTGTCGAATGCCTTACTGAAGTCTATAGACGCGGCATCTGTTAGCAACTTGCAATCACGGACTGCAACTTATTCCTCTCTCGTTGTAGGGAAGTTTGTTGAACAGGAGTTCCAGTACGGAAGCCGTGTTGCTGTGATGCCGGAAGATTATTTGATTCGACATGCCTAAGTACCTTATCACGAATTGTTCTTTCTAAAACTTCAATAACTATGCTGGTTAAACTCGCTGGGCGATAGTCCGCCACCAGCTGGCGACTACTGGCCTTGAAAACTGGATTGATTCTGGTATCTTTTCAGTTTCTAAGAAGGCGAGTCTGAGATAAGGACATATTAAAAAGACCAGTGACTGACTAAGCAACAATATCTGCTAGCAGTCGGGTGCAACTCATCGGTACCCCGGGGATTTTTCAGGTTCAAGATTAATAAGCAACTGTAAGACTGTTTCCTTTGGTGTGAACACTATATCCATTAGTGGAACAGTGCTGACACCACTACTGAGCACTTCATCATCATGATCTACGGAGACTTCACTCAAGTAATCCGATCGATTCCACCAGACTATCGAGCTTTTACCAGAAAGGGAATTCCATACTTTATCTGAGTCCTCATGAATACAAACAGTCATTTAGGGCAGTTTTGGCCATCATTTATAAGCTGTTTCTCGCAGAACATCCAAGACTGTGTAATCAAAGTTTTGCAGAGATGACGGACTTTTCAGTAGCCAGTTTTAAATGTTTCCAGTCCAGTTCCTATAAACAAGTCCCATAAACGCCTCCTCCGCCCTACTGGTTCCTGAGTGTCTTCATTAGACCATGGAGAGCGATATGAGGACCTTCACGGAGTCAACCATGGAATAAATGCCGTCTTTACCTCTTCAAATAGAGTTCTAAACTTACCCCAAGTGTTATCTATTGATGAGTCCTTGTCGATGGTCCAATCCTAACCGACTGCGCAATCCCTTAGACTTGAAATGCTTACGCGCAGTGTCGTAACTAAATTCATACGTCCGAAAACCGAGAGTTAGCACTACATGATCGCTGTCAGTTAACGGAGCGAAGTATCGTAGATCCATAGTATCTTCACATTGGTTGGTTAAAACCAAATCTAATAACGATGGCTTGTGTCTAGAATCGTATCGTGTTGCACAAGTTACGTTTTAAACTAAGGCAGATTCTATTACCGTTAAAAGCAAATCATTTTGGAAGGAGCTGCCCGAGGCTGACTGTTAGTTCTTTCCAGTTTGTGTGGAGCACTCAGATCCCCGAATATTAAGCATATGTTGCTTCTGCTCCAGTTACGTATATTGGTTAGCATGAAGTCATTTGCAAGGCAAGATGGATTACGATAAATTACCCTAATACTACAGAAACTTTGCTTTGACTTCAGCTCACAATTGGCCACTTCTCAGGTGCCGCATTCATGTGCTTCGGAAGTGACTGATCGTATGTGGACGTCATCACGGACATAGACTGGTATACCACCACTTTTTTGACCCACAACCCTATCTGTCCTTACACAGTAATACCGTTAGAAGTGGCTTAAAATCTGAATCCTTTATTAGCCAGGTTTCAGTAACGGCCACTACATCATGACCTGGTTCACAGACTGAAGTCCCGAGGTCTGTCATTTTACTTCTAGTGCTACGAACATTGGTGTAGATTACGTTCACTGTTATCTAATTGCTTCTAGAATGCGTTCACCAAAAGAACTGATACCATGAGCTGAAGGGAGTTCTCGTCGTTGTGCATACTAGGTGCCTGTAAACTTAAGTGGCATCAATTCAACAAATGTAGACATCTATAGTTTTGTGCACATTCCAACATCTTTATGTGTACAACTGCCTACGCAATACAAATGAAACAACCGACATGCTGACTGAAATATATATGCATATTTTAGTTGAGTGAAAAATCAGCAGAAAGCTATTCTTGGCCTACACATAAACCAATAAAAATAGGAGACTATAAGTACAAAATACGGTTTGAATGTTGAAATATTTGAAGCAAAGCTTCATAAAATTATGAGGTTGTCCAATATGAATTGTTTCTAAAATGTCTTGGATTACCATCATCAGTATCAACATAGGACCAGGCATTATTGCGTAACGGTCCGAGTTGCCACACCTCATATCAGTACATCAAGTAAAAAAGCAGTGAGGCACAAGATGAAGATAAAAAAATTTAGTCTAGAGAAATATAAAGTACGGAAGGAGAGAAAGGAAGAATGAGAAAATGGTGAGATTCAGTATAGTGTCGTTAAGATGAGGATAATGTATGTATACATCTGCGCCACTGACATCGGTTCTGAGCCATGTGATCACCTAGTCTCCAACCACTGGATTACGCGTAGGATATGAAAAGAGTTTTACGGAAAATTTCACATTTCGCAATACACGTTAAAACTCCAGCAGCTAAGCCATATTTTCAGGTGAAGTCTGGCTGGAATATTTCGTAAAGACTTCATTTATCCAGTGCTTGCACTTTCTACTGGTGTGGTCACGCATGAATCATTGGCCTTCGACCTAGGACTACTACATGACGGCAGCAGTCGCCACACTTCACGACATGCCAACACGTACATTGGAAATAAGCATATAGCAGAGTGAAATCTACCTAATCAAAAAAGAGCCTTAAGATATATTGAGGAAAATAACAAAAAGATATGAATGTAGAATATTCTCGGTAGGATTTACGGCTATAGATTTAGAGTTGGTCACAAAGTAACAGCCAAGTCTGTAGCAAATCCATTTTAAAAGGGATACGAAACTAAATTGATTGCTTTAACTGCAATCCAATACATTTGACCATTATTAGACTATCTGATTCCATGATAGTGCCAAAAGTGGCAAAAGAAGGAAACTGCTAGGCTAGACTTATTTATCTGTGTTGTTATATCGTCAATCAGTGACAGAACAGGGTTGATCCAACTCACCAAGTAAATGAAATGGTCAACGCACTCAACCGCTTCACTCCGTATTGTTGAACAAGGCACTAGTAAAGACCAGTCCTGAAACAATAATTCGCTTCTTAAGGGTGATGAGAAAGGCATGTTGAACATTCCCAAATTGCCACTCAACGTTCTAGTAGGCTCTGCATCTTTTCAGCGTCTTCACTGTGTCATCTGCGTACTCAATCTACTAATGATTCTTGTTTGACAGGATTAGTTGCTGTGAAGTCACACGACTAGAGGGAGACTTTCTTGCTTATAACTATTACAAAATTGAGTAGGAATGGGAACAGTGAGCATCCCTGACAGACACCACTCGACGAACACGACTCACCTGATAACTTACACCATAGGCCGTAACATAAATGGGTATTAGAGTGCAGTGCCTTCAACAGAGTGGTATAATTACGCTGCACTATAAGACCTTTCGATCGATGAAGTGATAAGCCACTCTCATGTCGAGAAATATACCCAGTGTCATATGTCGGAAAGTGTATGTGTTGCGAAACCCGGCGAAGTCGATAAATCTATTCTATATCGTTACAATATTGACATAGATATGCAGTAAGGCAGATCACCTGTTGAACTAGGATATGTATAACATCTGACAACCAAACTTGAAGTTTTGTTGAAGAAGGTAACTAATTTCTCGTAATTTTTGGAGTTGAATTATGGTCGAATATGTCAAATTCTAATGTGTTTCTAGGACGTGTGGCTGAAAGAGGTTACAGGGCTGATGACCTTGCCTTCACAGTGGTCCTCGAGATCAAAGGAATCAGTGATTAAGGACTCTTGGGGGTATGGCTGGAAATCGGTGGCAATAACTCCTTAACGTCTGCTTATGGTTAAATATTTGCATTAGCCGTTATCTTCAAATTTTGTCCTATTACACAGCTCTTCCTACTTTGATATCACTTTTTATATCCACCTGTTGTTTTTGTACTACTGTAAAGTGTAGCAACTTAAGGTAATGTACCTATATGCGAGGTTCTACGTTGATTTTGTTAGTCAATCAGTCGTCCCTCTAAGTTACCGTTTTCAAAGTCAATCTTCGCTAGACTAAAAGGGTTGCTGTTATAACGTTTTTTGGACTCAAAAGATCTTTATTTCGGAACGTTATGCCATAAACGAGTAGGATTAAAAGAACTAAGGATGATTAAACTGAAATATGTTTGTCTGTAAAGTCGCTGACTGTTAATCCCAACCACGTAGTTTAGTGTAAGTGGTTTGGTGCCGCCTGATAACCAAAACCGGTGGAGGTGCTAGGCCATATGGCTCAGAATTGAGCGTAGTGGTGTAGATATGCCTATACTTTGTGATTTTAATTGCTATATTGCACTCTCGAAATAGAAAGGAAGTAAGTGTAGTCAGCAACCACCTGCACGCTTGTGCAGTATTCATTGAGCCACACTGTGCTAGGGCTTGTGATGCTACCTGGTCATCTAAACTTCAGCAGGTAGAAAAGAGTTCGAACCCGTAGCCCTTTGGTTGAAAGTTAGGTGCCTGGACCAATGAGCCATTATTCCATATACTGCATCCTACTGTTTGCCTAGTCCCTCTTCAGATAATCTTATGGTTTACCTCGACTTTTACTATATGATTTGGATTTCTTTTTCTTGGACATTGTCATTCTTTACTTTGATATACTGGTGTATGTGACAACTTGTACCGTCCCTCTCTAAATCTAGTTCCTATAGTGACACTGACTGAAACTGACCACCTCTACTTTTTCCGGTTAACTGGTGTCAGCATCTGATGTTTGCTCACAAAGCCACTTATTTAGAATACGTAAAATGTGATAAAGTCCTTGAAGCCTGCGTTATACTAAAACTAATTTGATTCGTTTCAGTTACATTCATACAGACAGATAAAATCGACGTAGGACCTCACACACGGGTACATCGTTTCAAGTTAACGCACTTAACAGTAACATGAAAAGTACAGGTGGGCAGAAAACGAGTGATGTCAAAGTTGACAAAGTTGTGTGAGAGAATAAACAATCTGAAGATAAGGGTTAGTGCGAATATTCAATCTTTAGAGTGAATATGTCATTGTGACCGATTTTCAGCCACTACCAGGAGCCCTCAACTGGTGATCCTTTTTGTCTCGGGGACCTCAACCACGCAGTCTACATCTCCTACATGGCTCAGACCAACAGTTAGAGACGTCGACTGGTGCTACGTCTTAGTTTGGCCACCCTGTACCCTTTCCCAACCTAATCCAACTTCTCCTAGCATCCCATGTCGAGATGGGCGGTCGTTTGGCTTGCGCAACACACGTTCAAGCTACCTCAGCTGTTGAAGGTTTACAACCTCGTTGACAGACTTTCCTCTTCACAGAGCTTCAACATCGTATATATGGTCATCACCAAATATCATCAATACTGAGGAGAGACGATCAAATATAAACATATGAGCTGAAAATGGATGTTTCCAGGTATGAAGCTGAACCTTGGCACCTAAGGGGTGCATTTTTAGACATTCGTTTTGCAAACATTGCATATTTCACTTTGCTCATGGTTTCTTGAATATGGACATATAGTGTACTCCTAGTTTTGAGAAAATAATTTATGCTTAGTTGATGCAAATCACATCTTTGACATTTTTTTAGAATGGTTGCATCATTCAAACCGTCGCACGAAGTTATATCAGTCCCTGTATTGATTTCTATCTGGTTGTCATGAAGTTTCACGCAAAACATTTGGTGGCACTTTTATGACATGTAAAAGTATACAGCCTTAACATGTTATTTTACTATGGAATTGTATTAACTTTGCATTTTAGGACCCTCACGTCCTTCCACTTATTGAATAGTAATAAAAAACAGTTTTATAACCTTGGGTCTCAAAGTGAAAATAAGATTTCAGAAAATGAGATCTAAGGACTTTTTCCGAAGAAAATTCTCTCAAGTTTCGCCTTATCTTCATCTGAACACAAAATCAGCAATTAAAGTTGACTTCTGAAATGAGTTGGCGAGGCATTTTAGCACTGGGAACCAAATATCTTAGAAGGCTTCAAAAATTTCCGGTGGTATTTCTCAAACAACCCAGATTATACTTGGTAAGTGAACATTATATGTAATATTCCCTTTAGTTACCAAGGTATTCTGTCCAGTATCCTCGTGCCCATCCAAACATTTCACGTCTATCTAAATATTTTGGCCATTATACTCAAAGAAACACACTGGTTAGAGCAATATACAGAACGCTAGTTAATAGCAGTACCCAACAACGACCTAATTCATTACTAAGAGCCTACAGAGGATTCGCTGGATCTGTTCAGTTAAGGCATTACTTGCACAGTCGATCTGAGTAAGTACTTTCCAAACAGTTATCTTTCAAAAACACACTTTCACTCATTATGCAGCGAAATACAGCTCACTGGTTCACTCATACACCTGCTTAGTTGTCAGTGTTTGAATGACATCACTGATTTTAACACAATACACATATGACTCATGGCTTATCTCATGAACCTATGCGTGGTTGCATAAGTTAATTTTCTATCAAATTCATACTGAATTTTTTGGAAATTTTGTCGAGTGCTTTTCTTTGTTGTCTTTAGATATCACTTCAAGTATATAATGTGATATAAACTTACCTTGCCATAATTTAATAGCTTGAGCTAAGTGAAAACTGACTGTCAAACTGCAACTTGGTCTTATAGTAGCTGAGTGCAGGTTTCCATACTTCAAAACAGTTGAGTCTGAAAAAGGAAAGTCAATTCATAGTCTTAGTTATGAAGATAAATAAGATTTTTATTAAATGTAGGTTGAGAAGACGCCCACCGTTTTAAGTCACAGTTGAAAGTAAATGTATCTGTACTACAAAGACCGGGTCTTAAACATGCTTGCAGATACCAACTAATGTACTTCCTTTGTAGCATATATCCTGAAATTAAAACAGTGCAAATATTAATCGGTGCCTGTATAAGGATTGAAAGGCAACATTACAAAGTGTGTTATATTTTGTCAAACCAACAGTTGCTAAAGTGATGTGGTATTCGGAACCACTCAATTGAATTGGTCCTACCACGTCCAAAACTTTGTTTGAGGATTATCAATGCTAAAAGCGTCTACTGCTATCGTATAATTAGTGAAGGTATAATGTGATTTAAGATTGATTTTGCACTCTTCATAAGAGAGTGATAGTGTGTGGTAGTAAGTTTTTTTCATTGAATTATCTGCATTCCGTTAGCCAGGTAATATGAAAAAAGAAATATGGGACCTGGCATGACTTAGTAGCGGTCCAAATTGCTACACCTCACCTCAGCAAATCCACCAAGAGGAAAGATAGTGAAACAGGGGAAGATAATGTAATTAAAAGTTGTTAAAAGCCATAGGAACGAAGAAAGATGTGGTAAAACAATGACAAATGCGATATGACTGTGAGGATAAAGATAAAGTATAGATGGACTTGCGCCACTGAAATCGATTCTGAGCGATATCACCTAGAATCTCTAACCACCTATCTTTCTTGTCACACCAGTGCCTTCTACCGTGATACGCTAGTATAAGGTGTGGCAACTTGGACCGTTGTGCAATAACGTCAGGTTCCATGTTGGTGCTGATTAGTTGACTAATGAATAGGCGGGGCCAATTTAATAACCCTTTAAACTTTGATCTGTTCTCATTTTGGGGTTTGTAAGCTTCCTGATTATGGTGTGTAAAACAACTGAAGGCGATTATCAGAGACTCAAGGTAAAACCACTCAATTTTTATCTTAGTACCATAGATGTACTTGATTCCTATCTTCATCTAGGTTTGTTTCACTAATAATTAAGTTCCGTTATTTACTATGCATTCTTTTCTTCCTGCCTTATAATTTTTTAAGACTTTTGAATGCGTTGTTTTCCTTTTCCTCTCCTCCCTCTTCCTTCGTTGCGTCTCACTATTTTGTTAATGTCTGCCTGATGTGGAACGTGTTTGCTTTAAATATTATGCGGTAATGCCAAATCCCACGTTAGTAATGTCTATCTGTTACTCAACGATGTGGTCGAGGATTTGATCAAAAACATTGAACATTAATATTGTTAGCTAAAAAGTATACCAGCAGTTCTTCAAATGATCTTAATAAAATTTATTTATCAATTAGTCAGATGTCACCAAACCACCAACTTACACATTTTCTATTTGTTTTCACCTGATTTTTGAAATTTCCTAACCGAAATAAAAAACAATATTTGGACAATTTTCAGCAACTCTTTCCGTCCAATCAATGAAGTTTGTAAACCTAAACATGAATCTTGGTTTTCAAATCTCTTTGGAACAAATAAATATCAAGTATTGCCTAGTTTGGCTACAAATTCTGCTGAGTCAATAGTTCCAAAAGAATTTATTGCTTCAGGATGCAATAGCGCTGTATGGGCTGCAGAAGTTCGTCAACAAAAACAACAAAATAATAGTGGTAATTGAGAGTTGTTATTTCCTAAAATATATCAACAAATTCTGATTATTAACTATGTCTACTTTTTCCCACTCCAATGATTTTACTAAAAGAGACAACTATTTCTTCACATTTCACCATGCCATTATGTTTATTTGAAGAGCTACTTATACCGTCAAAACTCTAATGAAAGCTCCTAGGATAAGATTGCAGTTTCTTAGGGTGACTAGGGTTTCTGGGTGCATTGCTTTCGTGGTCTCAGAAAGAAGCTTTAAAAATAGGGTGTAGTTTGTTTCCGCTTTATTCCTGCTTAGTTTCAGTATGCATAACACTTCCCAGTTGACAATTTCAATGGACAATTCTTAAAGGTATTATGACATCTGTATTCCTTGTTAATCAGAACTAGATAAGTACTTAAGAATGTCAACCGCACTACTTGTTTAGATGTCTTCAATATCAATCACATACATCATTATCACTGGCATTACAGCACAACTTTACATTGTCCTTGATCACTGTTTAATAACTTATGCAGCATTTATCATTCGTTAAAGAAACTGTCCCATCAACATATTTCTCCCCGCTATCAATCACAAGTAGAAGACTTCCGTATTTTTCAGAAAATGTGAGCTTTTAAAAACTGTTGCTGCTAATCTTACAAACTAGTCATCGACGTTGAGGTTAGATTTAGGTGTCTTTCTATGACAAACATACGGAAATCAGTTTGACTAACATGGTATCAGATATCTTAGGTTGCATTGTCATAAAGCACCTAACTACCACTTTAGAACAACAAACCCTAAACAATCAGACAAGTTTCAAATGTAGGTAAAATTGTATTCATATCTTTATCTTTTGATGTATTTTGGAAAATAAATGGACCAATCAGCACCCGACACTAACTATATTTCTTAACCTGGAGTTAGCATTCGGTGCATTGTTCTAGGCACTCAACTTCCAAACCTACGGTTTACAGGTTCGAACCAAGCTCCACCTGCCGAGGTCTGGGTAGCCAGATAGTATCATTAGCCACTCATACGATAGGCGTGGGTCAATGCCTACTGCACTAGCATGCACAAGGTCCCTGAAGGGATTTCAGTCTTTTTCTGTCCGAGCATTTTCGCTCCGTTGGTCGAGGTGTTGTGGCAGTCCCTGACTGGAGAGATTACTGAAGATTGAGATTCCAATTCACGTGGCTGCGCAAGGAATTAAGGTTAGTTGTTGTTTAAAATTACAAAAAGCAGTTCTGTTCATCTAAGATCTCCGTTTCCACCATTTTCACCTAATATGGAACTTGTGGGGCTGTGGCTCATTAGTTTTGGCAGTTGGCTATCAACCAGTGGTTCATGATTTCAAACACTACTTCATCTATCGAGGTCTGAGCAGTCAGGTAACATTATTAACCTCCGCATACTAGGTGTGGCTCATTGCTTACTGCATGAAGGTGCAGGTAGTCTCTGAGCGCATTTTGATTTCGAACTTTGAACTTCTTATTGCCCGGTTTACCCTACCCAGATGGCATTCGGTTGACCTAAAATATACGGACAGCATGTTCGTGTTCAGTGAATAAGCCGACAAAATATAGGATCTTCCGAACATTTCAACCTTATCAAATGCAAGCTAATGCTTCGGTGACTGGTTTTCAGTGGCTTCTAGTTTAGAAATTTCGAATAAGGTAGTGAGATGCGTTGGCTACCAACTTAAGAAATTGCGCAAAACCTGAAGGGGTTGATTACTGGCAAAATTTCACCTCGGATACTATAAGTGATATCCCTGAAGAATTCGGGGAATGACAACAACAGAATTTGCCAAATCTGAAAAGGGTAACTCAACAGTAACTACAACCTGTTAACTTGAATTCATAAGCATGTATCTAGGATCTGTAACGTCCATGAGAATAAACAAGGAGTCAGCAGAAAGCCTATAAACTAAGCTATTCAGTTTTATTTTAAAATAAATGCTGTGTAACATAGTTTTTGAAATAAATAAAACAGTCCGACCAATCACATTTATCTAAATGTGACACTTTCCTTCCTTCGGGTTGTTAGGACGAAATGTATGCATGTACATCCTTCTTATTTATTTATCTGTTGAGTTTCCTGTTTATTTTCCTACTACCCCTTTTTTGCAAAACTTACAATTTATCTTAGAATCTGCCGACAGATTAGCTGTTAAAGTACTATATAACTACTACGCGAATTCGTCGTATGATGGACCTACAAACACGGAGAGTGATAGTGATAATAATAACAATGCATTGAAGGATATACCTGAAAGTTGGATATTACTTCATCGTCAAATTCAACGAGAATGTGAACTTCGTCCTCAAACCAATCATCCTAATATTGTACCCTTAGTTGGACATTTTATCGACCGTGCACCTCAAAATACTTCATCAGCTAATTGTACATCAGTTGACAAGACTCCTGAAAGTTATACTTGTACAACTAGTCATGGTAAATCTTGCATCATATCATCTGATAAGGTTTATCAACCCGTTAATAATAGTGTACATTCATCTTGTATGCGATCTCAGTGTTGGCCAGGTGCAGAATCATTTTCTGAAGGGTTTGGCGGTCAACCGTATACATTCTACATGTTAATGCCAAGGTAAGCTGTTTTTCATAGGCTATGAAATTTATAGCCATTTTTACTACTTTATCAATGATTAAATGTTGATAGCCGAATATTTTTGTTAAAGAAAAGAAACTTCTCAACATATTTAGTACACATACAAGATCAGTTCATTGTTTGAAGATTAAGAAACAAATTACCATATTTCCTTGTTTTGAGGCTATTTAATGATCGTGAAGAAATCATCCTTTAGAACAATAGTTGTAAGATTACGTTTCTCTGTTTGCTGTACAACATGATATCCCTTTTTAAAACAGGAGTGCAAGTAACTATTTGTGAATCCTAATTTCAAGGAAAGTTACCACAATCTCGATTCCAAATGAATCAAAAAGGAGGAAGTATATGGTGGTTCATAGTTTAGATATTTCCAATAGATAAGTGTTATTCACTATTCGATGACTACATCCGTCGATTAACAGATTACTGAGATAGGCGGTCTATGTTCAAACAGTGAGTTTTTCGGTTCAAACACAGCTCCATTTGGTAAGGTTTCGGTCGTTAATTAGTATCGCTAACCGCTTAACATAATTGTTTCAGTTCATGATCTGATGCAAAAACCGTTGTGTATTGACCAGGCTCATCTCAAGAGTTTCTTCTGGGTTACTGAATGCATATGAATGTACTCCAGCAGGCTAAGAGGACAGTGAGGAGTGGGAGCTATGGCTGTGAGCAGTGGGGCGTAGCGGCAGCTAAATAGATAGAAGAGATGGCTGCGATGGATAGCAATAGACAACTATTTAAAATTATCAAGAAAAATGGTACGAAAAGGTCAATGGTTAGTGAGACTATAGCGGAGAAGAGTGGGTTTATGACTCACTGTTCGACGAGATGACTGTAACGATGGGTGGAACACGAAGGCAGCAGTTCAGGTAACCTCCAGCTACTATTCCGTTTCCTACTATCCAGTTGGATGGTGAATGAAACACTGAAATAGGACCTTTAGCACTTACAAAAGTCGAGAAAAGCTACAAGTAATCTGAAAGAAGAAAGGGCATCAACGACAGTTAGGGTAGTAACGGAGTTGTTCTACGACGGCATTGGTGGATTATTCGTCAGCTTAACTGAGGCATAAGCTAGCGTATAGGAATGATCCGAATCACTGATTGTCCCGCTCTTCAGAAAAGCGAAAGAACTGGCTGTGCTAACCACAGAAGAATCAGCTTGACGAACATAGTGTCTAAGATTATGCGTTCTATAACTCTAAGGCGTCTGGGGAGGCATCTGGAGGAACAACAAACCCGAGGAGACCAGACAGGTAGGTTTCGTACCTGGTCGTGAGTGTTTCGACCAAATATTCACTCTCAGCCACGTTCTGTAACATAAGTACACTTTAAGACATACGACACTAGCTGTATTTCTGGGTCTGAAGGTGGTATACCACTCCATCGATCGGGAGGTCTTATAGAAGTGTCTCTCACTGGAACAAGTGCAGCGTAAGTACATCAGTTTGTTGGAGGATCTGTACTCGAACACCGGTGGATGTGTTACAGCCTATGGTGTGTTATGACGTGAGTTGTGTACATCGAATGGTTTCTGTCAGAGATTCCATTTTAGTCTGTTTATTAACACTGTCACACAGTGAAACAGTACTATTTACTACATATTATGTCCGAAACTTTGTTCAGTAAATAATACTGTTTCACCGTTTAGTAGTCCTAATAAATAGACTAAAATGGAGTTACAATATATCAAGAATATTCAGTGTCTCCATTCCTACTCAACTTTGTCATAGTTATAAGCAAAAAAGTCTCCCTCTCGTCGTGTGACTTCACAGCAACTAATCCTGTCAAACAAGAATCATTAGTAGATTGAGTACGCAGATGACACAGTGAAGACGCTGAAAAGATGCAGAGCCTACTAGAAACGTTGAGTGGCAATTTGGGAATGTTCAACATGCCTTTCTCATCACCCTTAAGAAGCGAATTATTGTTTCAGGACTGGTCTTTACCAATGCCTTGTTCAACAATACGGAGTGAAGCGGTTGAGTGCGTTGACCATTTCATTACTTGGTGAGTTGGATCAACCCTGTTCTGTCACTGATTGACGATATAACAACACAGATAAATAAGTCTAGCCTAGCAGTTTCCTTCTTTTGCCACTTTTGGCACAACCGCTTATCTTCAGCTACCCATAAAGAGTCGAGTTTACTACGCCACAAGTCATTCTGTTTTGTGTGGCTATGAAACATAGCCATTAAGGGTTAGAGATATAGGAAAGCTTTCAGTGTTCGATGGCTGTTGACTTCTTAGCAGCTGGCATTTGTCGAGATATCGCCACATCAGTCGCGTAGAAGCCAGGTGTAGAGTGTCCTGCTAAAGTGAAAACTCAGTTGATAAGGTAGTGAACGTTAATCGACCCAGGTGGCATGTGTTCTCCCGTATGCCAGTCATCATTTACCCCTCGTGACTGTGTTAAGGGAAGTAGGTTAAGTCTCGCAAAATGTTAGAATCGGTCAGATAAAAAATGGAACCAGTTTATCCAGTCTTCAACTTTTGGTCTGAGCCATGTAGGAAACGTAGACTTTTTGGCTGTAGTCTGCATGACACTCGAAACCGCTTATAGACAACTTTAATCGATGCGACTCAGAACAAGTCCTAATGACAGTCTTACCCACTTATTCCCTTCATGTAGATTGTCCAGCCAAATGGTATTATCGAGCAAAAACGAATGTTTCTTGAGGTTATGATAAACCAGAAAAGGCTTTTTTATACTTACACTACAAAAGTAGTTGCTGCTATGGTGCAAGTAGCTACTATATGATGGAGGTCGGAGGACGAAGGCGTACTGTTGGCTGGACGGAATGTGACAATTAAGGTGGTTGATCAGAAGCCTATGCTGATACTGCATTCCACACGGAAAGGTGATGTTATAAAAGATCGACTTGAAAAAATCACACACCTTTCTGTCCTACGGTCTACTCGTGCTGGCAGTACAGACTTTCGTAGCTGTATTCAACATAATCAAACATAAATCTCAATTATGCTGAAGTTTCATGTATTGTCCTACCTAGAGTCGATGTCCTGTGAACTCTATGGTTATGCACAACTATTACTAATGTAGTTTCCTTTTAAGTTATTTCAAACTGATCTAACTGTGAATGATGTGGGCAGCTGGAAAGTGTCAAGCGCCGTCACAACTCTGTGAGGACTCAATTTCACTCAGGTCATTATCAAGCTCCCACATCTTTTTTCCTTTTAGTCTTGCATCACATCTTCGAGTCGACATTCCTGTATCATTTTCAACCTGTTGTAGCTGTGTAGCCGTTGATGCAGACAGACAGTGAGACGAAATGAACGTTGAACTTTGTACACAAATGCATTTGTTGAGGTTGTCACACGTTATAGTAGTATGCAAAGAACAAGTGGATCAGAGAAACTGATATCAAAGTGGACATAGGTGTATTGGAGGAGAGGGTATTTAAAAGTTGAGGTTAGTCAAAACACTGGAGTTTTTGGCAGGCATCGAAGAGTGAAAATATCTCCATTGTGACTGATTTCCATCCATTTCATGAAGAATCGTCAACCACTGATTCCTATGGTCTTGAGGACTCTATTCAGATAGGAAGTTTTCACTCCGCTACACGACACAGACCAACAGCCGAGGACTTGATTGACTGATGTGATGTCTTGGTTTGTGCACTCGTGACCCTCTTCCAACGTAACTGAACTTTTCCTTTCATAGCACGTCGGGGAATGTGGTGGCTTGTTATGTGCAGCACATATGTGAGCCACCCCAGTCGTTGAAGTTTTACCACTCCATCGATTGACATGTCTTCCTTGTCTAGTACCTTCCGACTGACATGAGCAATGCTACAAAGACACCTATGAATAAAAAAACTGTAACCACTTGATATCTCCTGCTATTGGTGGGTCATGTGTCCCAGTCGTATGACATGACGGAATGAACTGGAGCGTAGTATACTGGTCCTTTGGTAGGTAGTCGGATATCTCGTCGGTGCCAGAGGTGTCGGTGGATAAGTCTTTGAGACCAGGGAGCAGAGTGTGTCCCTTGTGTGTTGTGAACAGACTGGAAATGGCATATCAAAGCATTTGATGTTCTCACTCTCAGTTGACTTGAAGAAGTTCCTCTAACCGAATCTGTGACATCTCGAGCTATGGATGTGTGGTGTGTTTGTTTATAGAGGAGTCAACCAATGTGTTATTGTTCACTTAGTCTCAACCGACTTATATGGTGTGTCTGTTTCACTAGAATTGTATATTGTGTCTATAGTTATTCGACTCCTAACTGATTCTCTATATCAGCCAATTTGAGGTTACCAGATAGGTTTTAGGCCTGAATTAGAATGCACGGATGAAATCTTCACGCTTCGACAGGTTTTTGGAGCTTAGGTTGACTTACTAGTGCCGGACACATTCTAATTGTTTGCTCGAAGGTGGTATTCGATTCCATCGAGTAAGGGTTGTTGTGACAATTTCTGACTCTTAAGGGAGTAGCATGGAAGTATACTTATTGAGTCAGGGTTTTCAGGTTGGACTTTTGTAACGATGTGCTTATGGAGTGTTTTCGTCTGAAGTATCATACACAGTAGTGTCCACCAAGGATGTCCACTTGTCCCATTTCGGTTTAACTTAGTCGTATGGTCTAGTGGGTAAAAGTGTTGTTACTTCCGACTTCTCGGCGACTAGCTTAGTTCCTGCTAGGCACCTAGTTAACTTGGAATTGGCAGATGTTTAGATGGAAACGTTAAGCCAGTCTGTTTGTCGTTTCGAGCCACGTAGGAAGATTTTGTTTGCCTGGTTAGTATGTGATGTGTAAAAATAACTGCTCGCAAACTTTTCGTGACATGGCTGAAAATTGGTTCCAAGGATGCTAGTGTATCCATTTTGTGACCCATTCGAAAATTAGAAAAATTCCTCGATGCTTCCCTTTTTGGATTCTCTTTCCTTCCACACAGTTTCATCTACTTCCGTATCACTTTTTCTATCAAACTGTATTTTGCATGCTACTGGGAAGTGTGACAAATTAAAGCGATGCGCTCCCACGCGAAGTTCTTCGTTGATTTTGTCCGCGCTATTCAACTGATTAGTGCAATGAGAACTAAAATAATAGTGAAATTCTCCATCATTTCTTTGTAATCGCTGCTGAATGCAGTTGAGTTGATGTCATAAATGGGTTCTACCGAAGACTGTCTAACCTCATCTGAGCCATGAGCCTTTGGATGTTTACTCTTAGGTGACTATTTTAATTTACTAGTTGGTAGACTATGACGGGTTTCGAACAACTCAATTTTTTTTTGTCTTCATATTTGCTGTGTCTGAAGGTGATAGGTCCTTGAAGTTACTTAACACACTGATCAGTCGAAATCCTCTTGATAATTTCGCGCACATTTGTGCAGTGAGCCACACCTGTCGTGTAAGGCCTAATTATACTATTTGATTGCCCAAGCTTTGGTAGGTGAACCCAAGTTCGAACTCCTGGTCCATCAATTGAAAATCAAGTGCCTAAATCAATGAGCCACAGCTGGACAAACTAGTCAGTTTAATCGATCGATTTACCTGCTTTCTCTACTTAATGCTCTACTACATACTACCTGTATTCTGAAGGTATGATTTGTCAAACTTTTGGAACCCTTTCTTATTAGATTTCACAGGTACTTACTTTTAAGGATCGCATACACCGCTAAATTTACCTTTCGAGTTTCTGGGGATTCAATGACAAGTTCACGCAGTTGTTAATCACCTGCGTGCCGTTCGACTTAGAGGTGCATTTACGGCTTAAAAGATCAGTGGGACTCGTTTATTTTTTTTTTTGTAATATCTCCTTACTGATGATTTCTACCGAAAACTGCTTAGCCTCCCAAAGAAAGTCAAACGCTCAGATGTTTTCGTTGTATCAGGTGTTTCACTGCACACGTGAGCAGGCTAAGTCATGCAAGAAAGTACTTGGGTAGCACTTTCGGATTCCCATCTGAACGAACATGACGGCGATCACCTTGTACCGCTGTGCTCAGCACATTCCTGCAGGCTTAGAGCACAATGAGGGATGGGAGCAATTTAAATGTAGACTGACAAGAAGTCTACCCTATGGCTGCGAGCGACGATAGGCAGTGGCAGCTAAAATAGGCGGTTGCGATAGATAGCAGTAGACATCTTTTTAGAATTATCAAGAAAACTGGTGCGAATAAGTCAATGTTTAGTGAGACTATAGGAAAGAAGGATGGGCCTACAATTTATTGTCCGGTGAGACGACTGGAACGATGGACGAACTTTCTACCAATTTTTACAGCTTTCTCATTTACTCCCTTATCCTTTATCTTGAAGTTTCCTCCTTTGCTGTGTTGATATGAGGTGTGGCAACGTAGACTGTTACTCAGTAATCTCAGACCATGTTAATATTATCCATTTAGATATGTTGACCGAGAGAGACTTGAATAAAGATTAGTAGGCAACTATGTTGATGTCGATCCGACGGATGTTGAGTGCTGAAGGAGTTGTGAGGTCAGTTGACATATCTTAATTGTTTCATCTACATATTCCCTTCTATGAACTTGAATGGAGACGGAACAGTGATTAAGGCAGAATAAAATGATACCATTGTACTTCGACGGTTTCTCATCAGTTGCTGACGAATTGAAACAGTAAAACTTCATATCACAAGAATTTGGACATACTTCCAGGTTTCTTACATCGTGGAAGGTTATTTCTTCTTAAGATGCCTGGTGGGGAAATTGTATTGACCATAGTGATACGCAACTGCAGAGCCCAATTATCATCTGTTTGAGGCAGGTCACATGGCCATTTCAGATGTCCGAGTCTTTAGTTTGTTTTAAAATTCATCTATAATCCCAACCACCGAAAGACAGCAGTTTGGTGTGCAGTATGCTATTTTTTAGGACTAACCTTTTCTGAACCTCCTCCATAAGGAAACATAACCAGCATAGTACTGCTGATTATCAGTGAGTAACGCCTTGTTGCTCTCACTTTCCTGTCTAGATAGCAGTACAACGTCATTCTCGTACCCTCGTCATAGCGTAGGAAATTACATTATTACGAGAACTGCTTTTTGTCTTGCAGCTTTCCAACTGACCTATCTGATATGAACCACGAGGGAGCAAGTGTTTCCTTAGCATAGCTCGGGTGATTGTGATATACAGGCCCGACCACCGCATCAATTTACGAGTTTATTAGTCGTGATTCAGATCAATCATTGTTGTACTGTAAACTGAAGTACATAAAACTAAAATAGGTCACATGTCAAGCCTGTTTTTTCTTTTTAATCTAAGTCTGTAAATGGTTACTCTAAATCGTAATTTAGTCGACATCATACCTTACGTCTTGATGTAAGCTACAGTTGGATATGCATGATACATTTTGAACACTTTGTATGTATGATCTTACCTTCAGGGGTGGTTGTATTCACTTTCACTAAGGCCCCAGCGTTAGCATTACTCTGCTTATACCGTATACGACCGATATTGCCATGGCATCGGGCATCCATGATCTATTACCTCTTTATATCAGTTACCTTCAAAAGTCATAAAAATATTTGTATGAAAGAATGAAACATACTGATATGTTACGTACTAGGCATATGGATACTTCGCTTTTATGACAAATTGTATATATTCAAAAATTCAAGTCGATGTATAAATCTGAGCAATAAACCATTCTTAAGGTAGTATTCATCACGGACTGACATCAGTTGGAGGACCATTGAAAACCTGGGAGCACTGTACAGCTATTTCGTCCTAGTAAGGGACTCCTCAACAGTATGCAACGATGACCTGGCAGGGGATGGAACTCAGGACCTTCAAGTTTTATGGTGAATGCATTAACAATTTAGCCACTAGGTTGAAGTTCAATGACCTAATATTTCCTACTTCTGTCAATCTGTGGTATAGCACTACTATCGACCGAGGTCTTCGGTGCTCACTGCTGAGGAGTCCTATGATAGGACGAAACACCTGTCAAGTGCCCCCAGGTTTACAGTGGTTCTCCAACTGATGTCCGGTCGTGATGGATACCATTCTAAAAAATGAAATTCTTACTGACTCCAAAATAAATTATTCATTTCTAACAGCTTGGTAGCGTGGTGACTATTCAACCGACTGATGTTTGAAGAAGTATATTACACGAAATGGTATTCACGACTATGTACATAATATTTTCAGAATCAACAAAGGTTTGAAACCAAAACACTTACTGCACATCATATTATATAATTTAACTCATTTTCTTCTATATTTTTGTGTTATTATATTATTCTTATTGCTCTAAAGATTTGAAGCAACATTGGATGATATTTTACGAGGGAATATAAAGTTTGACTTGCAGAATTTATTCACTGAAATTGATCATGATAGAATCAAAGGATCTGTACAGAGTACATGCGGAGATAATACTGCAATGCATATAAGTCTTGAGCATCATGAACCAAGGACTCTCGACTTATCGACTCCTAAATCAGCCGATGCTGATTTACGTTCTTCAGTATTTGACTCGAATTTATCAAGTGTCACATTTATCAAACATGGTAAAATGCATCTTCCGCTTGATGATGTTGTGGCTATTCTAGCTCAATTATTCGAAGCAGTCGCTGAGCTGGAAGCTCATGGTATTGCTCATAGAGATATTAAACCTAATAATATACTGATACGTCGACGTGTTCTACCTGAAGGCGTTCGTATTTCTGGTATGAAATCTACAAGCAATTCTGTACTTAATTCTACTTCAAATCCACCTCTGACTTGGTTGAATGGTAAGCACAACATTCATACATACCTTGCCCATATTAAAATTGATATTAATGAACATTTCTGTTTCAAACAGGCCAATATATGGCGCACTAAATTATTTCATGCAACTTGTAAATAAATATTTAAGTTCTCTGATTTCACTATATATACTCTAGGCTGAATAGTGTGTATGGAAAATATAATAGTGCATTAGTCAGGTGTGTTTTAATCCGGTTCAAGATTTTTGAAGAAGTGGTTGACGGTTATGAAAACTGACATGTAATATTTTTTTTCTAAGCTGATGATTGTGGTAAAATGGAGCTCATATTAATCTGAAGAATCGGTTACAAAACTGATCTGCACCAACTACCAGTTTAAAGATAAGGAGTGCCATGGTTAAACACATGGTGCCTATATAAGAAGTGTCACCAGCCATAGCGAACTGACAACTGACGAAATCTTGAAACAGCTGCTAAAACCCAGTTGAACATTAACCAACCTACTCAATCTCTGGATTTAACAAGATATCCTACTACCGATTAGATGGCTGGCATACTTCACCGAAATTTATTCTATCATGCTTTACATAACTGTGAGACAAAGGTCGAAGGTGAAAGCCGTGAGTAAATTACAGGTTTTTTATTATTGACTGATCCACAGTATTCGTCATGTGTAGTGGAACCGCAGAGTGAGTTATGTACAAGTTAGGTGTGTGCAAGTTAGTCGATGAAGGTAATGATTTCTACTGACTACTTTGATGCACGATATTCGTTGAAGTCAGAACAGCTTTGACGAAAGCCGTGATTGGATGGACTAAGATATGGAACTATAAAGTCTCTGGGCTGTTGTTTCGAAATGTGTAAAAAGGTGTAGTCTATCGGAATGACTTCCTCGGTCTGTTAAGAATTTCGGAATCCCTTATTACGCTGAAATTATCATGGCTTTTAAAGTCTTATCGTTCGCATCTTTTTACTCATACACGAATTATATTTCATATTATTTGTTAGTGTTCTGATTGATTTTTGCCACTTCTAATGTACTATTTATTCCTGGTCTTTCAAGGTATATATCCTATGGCGTTTACTAATAATGAGCCTTCAGTTCGACATACTATAAACTCTATTGGATTCCCATTTTCTGATTCCGGCTACATCGTGTCAAGCCTTGGACCCTGAATCGTTAAGCATTCTCGTTTGTTCGTGTATCTCAGCAACTAGACCAGTTCTTAAACTTTCTTGATAGCAAGACTTGAAATTGATCATTCTATCGCATACATTTTAGCTGTCTCCCATCTTCGAAGTTTTATTCACTTACTTGTCCTTCTTTCACATCCATTTTGCTCATTTCCACATAATTCTGTTAACATTCACTTCGTTCGACGATGTTGTGCTGAACTGTGACAACTTGAACTCAGGGACCTTCGATATTGATTTATCTCTGCTTATTATCTCAACGATCTTCACATTTTCATGGACATACATCCAACTCATATCCTATACCTCAATATGGTGGTCCGGCTTGGATATTGCAGAGACAAAAAGAAATCAACGTATAACCTGGCGCACAACTGCAATGGTTCAAGTTGCCACACAATAGTAGTATACAAAGAACAAATGCATACATAACACCGATATCAAAGTAGACAAAAGTATATCAGAGGAGAGGGAATTGAAAAACTGAACCTAGTCAAAATCTTCAAGCTTTAGAAGACACCAAAAACTTAAGACATCTGTGCCATTGTGACCGATTTTCAGCCATTTCATCAAGGTTCGTCAACCACTAATTCCTTGCATATCACACTGACTCTACCACCTGTCTCCCGGCCGATAACTACTACCTTGATATGGTGATCTTTCTTGCATATAACAATGAACCAACAAGCAGTTCTATTGAAACGCTTGTTCCCTTGAGGTCCTACCATGCTAGAAAGGTTTACCGAATAGTGGTAGGACAAAAAGCAGTTACCGTTGTAGTGTAAATTACTACACTATCCTGGGTGTGAGGGCGAAGTTATACTCCTCCCAGCTGCATGGTATGTTACAGCAATAAGGTGTTTCTTTTGGATGGCCAGCAGTACCACGCTGATGCTGTATTTCTAAATGAAGGTGGGGTTAGAAAACGTCATCCTTTAAATTAACGCACTCCACCTGCCCACGGTCTTCCGGTGTCGGCGGTATACGCTTCTCTATCCGGGGTTAAAACAACTACACCTCAAAACACCAACTCGCTAAAGCCTGTGTGTTACGGGCCACAAACAGATATCCCATGACATCTGCAGTCAAACGAATCCTCTCCTCTTCCAGCTACCTTGAAAAGAAATAGCCTTCCACAGTGTGAGCAACCTGGAAGTATCAACCGCCCACAAAATTCTAATAGTACACAAAACCCAGTCAAACATAACCTATCCTCCTCAAGTCTGTCTCCTCCTTTACCTTTACCTTCACCTACTAATAGTAATATAAAGCCTCCTTCAACTCTTACAACCTCTAATTTTGCAACCACAGCGAACAATTGAAACATCACTCGTAGCCTCCTAAAACCCCGCTATTGATTTTGTGTAGGAGGTTTCATCGTGTGAACTCTATCCCAAATCGGACAGCAAGCATCTGACGCCAAAACTCTGAAATCTCTAGCCATCGATGCATGCTGTGTCTCTGAGACATGTGTATACGGGACCGGAGTTTGGTTAATAAATTGACCTCACCTGATCAGTGCTGTGAGTCTTCGAAATTCACCTTGAGAGTATCCGGATACCCAATGGCTAGCTAGCTGTCGTGGACTCACTGGTGTAGGCATAGCATCGAGTTGTAGAGCAGAAGGTGCACACCTCAACCGGATTCCAGTCGAAAACCATCAATGTGCTGTTCGACTGAACGGATCTGTAAGGACCAGGAAGGATCATGAGAGTAGTTGATACCTACTGATAATCTTCGTCTACACACCCACCGACTGCAGTTCGCATGATGCAAGGTTTGAATTCTATGCGAAGCTGTGAATTTTGCTACGTACGCTACGGAGAGCAAGACGCTCGAATGTAGTCACGATGCTAGGTGACTTTAACGCTGAAGTAGAGAGGCTGAGCTGAACTGAGCTGATTTGAGGCAATCGTAAAATCATCTTGCGGCTATTGATGGAATCCTATGCCAACAAACTGACAACGGTGATCTTATGTTACAATATTGTTCTAACAATCACTTGTTTCTGGACAGCACTAACTTCAAGCACACAGAGAAATTCTGTCTCACATGGTGTCCACCGACATCAAACCAACGATGGACACAGATAGATGACATTGATATAAGTCGTCGTTGGATAGGTTCGGTGGAAGATTGCCGCTCTTCCTGGGGTACTATTTTGACACTGATCACGTGTTACTGAGAGCACATGTATGTCTGCACCTTACTGGTCACTGGAAACAGGTGACAGTGAGTGATGCTTGTCTATGGTCGATTGATTGTAAGATGAGAACTTCAAGTCCGAATTAAATGAAGGGACAGCTGAGCATTTATCTGGACGTGACAGCTATGGTCATTCTGAGGTAACCAGGAGTGGCATGATATAGAGTCTACTGTCGAAACAGCGTCGATTACAGTTGGTAACCTGCACCTGAAGTTTAGCAAACGTAAAAGGACTATCGTGACGTCATTCGAACTGATTGATGTCAGAAGGCTGATTCCAGTTGCTTGTCTATGATCACAATGATGAGTGAAAGGAACTGAAACGTGAGTTGACCACGAGTCTTCGCGTCGATCGCGAGCAGTGGTGGATGGCGAAAGTGACAGAGATAGAGAAGGCATCACGGTTGGATAACAACCAACAATTATTTAGGCCTATTAAGGTCACCGGAAAGAAGAAGACGATGATTAGTGAAACCATCAACGTAAAGGATCGGAAACTGATAAACTCGAAGGACAGATGGGTAGAACGTTGAAGCACAATTCAACTGGCCAACAACAACCCTTCAGTCACCAAACATCTAACCAGCTTGAACCTGAATGGGACATTGATGTCCGTCCCCAAACTCCCCTTGAAGTTGAGAAAGCTGGATTGAGCCTGGATCGATGGAAGTAGCAGGAGATGATAGTCTGCCACCTGAAGTGTTGAATGACAGAGGTAGGAAACTGTTGAGTAGAGTGACCGGGATGATACTTTGTAGTGTAAGGTAGTCAGAGGTGGTTCCATCCCATCACCTGATCAGGTGACAGGACAACAAAATCAGATATCGAAAGAAGTGTGATTACATTGATATGATTATGAGCAGTAATTTATGCTCGAAACGTAATCAAGTGAATAATATTGTATCACTGTGCGTTATACATCAAATAAACAAATCTAATATGGAATTACATTGTACCACAGTGCCCAAGTGTTACACTTACATAAGGGGATATGTTTGACTGACATTGTGTCGAATGTCCTGTGATCCATATTTATTTGACGCCTGAGTGGAGCTTGATAACAACAAACTGGAGGTAACCAGACAGGTTTCAGACTCAGCTGGATGAGGGTTCATTGATCATTTTTCTACACTGCAACAACTTCCGGAACACAGGCAAACTTACCCACCAGTGGTTAATACTTGATTTCTTCCTCGACCTGAAGGTAACATTTGACTCTATGGACAGTGAGATGTTGTGTGTGTCTCACTGGTAAAGAAATACGTAGCAAAGGTTTGACTCTAATTGAAGCTCTCTACTCGAACTCATGCAGCCGCGCAGACTAGGGCATTAGCGCACTGGCGTCATCTGTGGGGCCAACGGGCGAGATATCCGAGCATCTACCATAGGAAGAGCATACTGCACTCCAGTCCGTTCTGTCCTGTTATCTGACTGTGAGACACGACTATTAAAAGTAGAAGACATGAAGCAGTTACAAGGTTCTGATCATATGTGTCTTCGTAACATTGCTAGCGTTTGTTCGAATCACCGTGTAATCAATGTTGAGGTCAGGCGAAATAAACCAGGCAAGAAAGTCAAGTCGATTGATGAGGTTGTGAACCTACCTCAACTGAGATGGCTTAGACATATGCTGTGCATGCCAAGCCACCCCTTACCTCGACATGCATACTATGGGAAGTTGGATTAGGTTGGAAGATGGTTCAAGGTAGCCAGACGAAGATGAGGCATCAGTCGATGAAGTCGCTTTCTGTCGATCTGAATATTGTGGTGAGATGCTGACCGCATGGTTGGGGTCCTCGAGACGTTAGAAAACAGTAGTTGAGGACTCCTGTTGACATGGTTGAAAATGGGTGACAATGGCACAGATGTATCCACTTCTTAACATCTTCTAAAGGTTGGATATTCGTAATACCCTTAGTCTTCAGATTGTTTATTGTCACACAACTTTGTCTACTTTGATATCACTCTTTCTCTTATTCCCCTTTTCTTTGTATGTTACTCTCAAGTATACAAACCTAAGCCAATGCACATGTATGCGATGTTCTACGTCGATTTTGTCATTCAGTCAAGACCCAAACTGGCAGAAACGATTATTCTTTGACGCTCTGGCATACAGGAATGCTTTATTCATAGTGGCATGACAAAAGCGGCTACCACTATAGCGCGAATAGCTACGATATGATGGAGGTCGGAGGACGAAGGCGTACTGTTGGCTGGACGGAATGTGACAATTAAGGTGGTTGATCAGAAGCCTATGCTGATACTGCATTCCACACGGAAAGGTGATGTTATAAAAGATCGACTTGAAAAAATCACACACCTTTCTGTCCTACGGTCTACTCGTGCTGGCAGTACAGACTTTCGTAGCTGTATTCAACATAATCAAACATAAATCTCAATTATGCTGAAGTTTCATGTATTGTCCTACCTAGAGTCGATGTCCTGTGAACTCTATGGTTATGCACAACTATTACTAATGTAGTTTCCTTTTAAGTTATTTCAAACTGATCTAACTGTGAATGATGTGGGCAGCTGGGAAGTGTCAAGCGCCGTCACAACTCTGTGAGGACTCAATTTCACTCAGGTCATTATCAAGCTCCCACATCTTTTTTCCTTTTAGTCTTGCATCACATCTTCGAGTCGACATTCCTGTATCATTTTCAACCTGTTGTAGCTGTGTAGCCGTTGATGCAGACAGACAGTGAGACGAAATGAACGTTGAACTTTGTACACAAATGCATTTGTTGAGGTTGTCACACGTTATAGTAGTATGCAAAGAACAAGTGGATCAGAGAAACTGATATCAAAGTGGACATAGGTGTATTGGAGGAGAGGGTATTTAAAAGTTGAGGTTAGTCAAAACACTGGAGTTTTTGGCAGGCATCGAAGAGTGAAAATATCTGCTCCATTGTGACTGATTTCCATCCATTTCACGAAGAATCGTCAACTACTGATTCCTATGGTCTTAAGGACTCTATTCAGATAGGAAGTTTTCACTCCGCTACACGACACAGACCAACAACCGAGGACTTGATTGACTGATGTGATGTCTTGGTTTGTGCACTCGTGACCCTCTTCCAACGTAACTGAACTTTTCCTTTCATAGCACGTCGGGGAATGTGGTGGCTTGTTATGTGCAGCACATATGTGAGCCACCCCAGTCGTTGAAGTTTTACCACTCCATCGATTGACATGTCTTCCTTGTCTAGTACCTTCCGACTGACATGAGCAATGCTACAAAGACACCTATGAATAAAAAAACTGTAACCACTTGATATCTCCTGCTATTGGTGGGTCATGTGTCCCAGTCGTATGACATGACGGAATGAACTGGAGCGTAGTATACTGGTCCTTTGGTAGGTAGTCGGATATCTCGTCGGTGCCAGAGGTGTCGGTGGATAAGTCTTTGAGACCAGGGAGCAGAGTGTGTCCCTTGTGTGTTGTGAACAGACTGGAAATGGCATATCAAAGCATTTGATGTTCTCACTCTCAGTTGACTTGAAGAAGTTCCTCTAACCGAATCTGTGACATCTCGAGCTATGGATGTGTGGTGTGTTTGTTTATAGAGGAGTCAACCAATGTGTTATTGTTCACTTAGTCTCAACTGACCTATATTGTGAGTCTGCACATTTCAGCATTCCAGTGTTTATAGATGCAGTGGCTAGTTCCCGTGCTTTTGGAAATGTGAGCGTAACACTCATCTGTGGGGTTGAAAATACATTCCCTTTCTGGCGCTCATTTTGTATTCATATGTGTGTTATTCAAAGGAGATAGTGTGTGTTTTATGGAAATTTGAGGTAGTTTTGTGTTATCAGTGTAGATTGCTGATCACTCCAGTGTAGACGAAGTCAGAAAAGTCTTGTTGTATAATCCTAGGGAACAATCAGTTTTACCAACGTAAGATGCTAAGATCATATTGTCCACCGTTATCAGGTGTCATACTTGTTTAAGAGTGCTTAGATAGGATCTTCGGAACACAGACATACGGGTGCACGAAGTGTGCCATGTGTGTTTATCTGAAGCTAACATTCGACTTGGACAACTGAGAGTGCTTCTCACTGAAATAGTGGCCGGGTGATTACTTCACACAGCCTGAGGCTCTGTGTTTGATTACCGTGGTCTTTCCAGAGCCTATTGCGAGTAGCTAGCAAAGTTGTTTCATTTGGCATAGTGTCTGTAAAGGATACCAACTATTTTCATTGAGAACTGATTTTGTCACGGACGTGCTCGTTTGTTTACAGGAATTGACCTATTCACAGTAGACTTCTTATTAGACGTGTATTACGCAGATGACATGCTGGTGTAAGGTGAATATACTGATAGGATACAGAGTCTACTGGATCCCTTAACTGATAATGTGAGAATATCTTAACTGTTTCCTCCCACTTAACTGCAAATTGTTGATATATTGCTGGTCTGTGTCAAATCTTTATCTAATAGTAGGGATTGAAGTGGTTGAGCCCATTGATCACTTTACTTACTTGAGAAATCTAGTTGGCACTGATGCATCAGTTGCCAAGGAAATCTTTGTATGGATTAAAAGGTTCACCTGGCGTTGTCCAGATTACGCCATCTATGGAATTGGTGTCGTACCTGATGGCCTATTAAAAACCAAATAGGCTGCGATGCGGTGCACCTGTTTTACCCTTTTGGTGTAGTTTGTAGGTATTTGACCATCATCGCCCTCATAGCATAGGGCATCTCTCGTTGAATCAGAACGGTAGTTACTCAGAAATCTGGTGTAGGGTTTTCGATAAGAGAGATAAACCATTTGATGAAGTTGTAAATTTCCATCCATTCAGATGGTATGTTACACATGCTGAGCTACTGCCTCCTCGATTTACTATGTTGTCCGAAGAGGGATTCCGTTATGTTTTCTATGGAGGGGGTCACGCCAATTTGCTTCACCGATCCATCAATTCGCTGAATATTGGTTCAAACGAACCAATGTAGTATAGACTGCCTGACTTGGGTTCTTAAGCTGATATGAGTCAATAGTTGGGGCCTGTTGGTGATACAACTGAAAACTGGTCATAATGCTGCAAATTTGTACACCATTTATCATCTTTCAAGTCTTGAATATTTTCATTAGCTTTCACCTCATACTCTCTTGTCTATCTCTCTATCACCTCTGTATCTGCTGCCCCTTTGCGTGCTGCTGTGAAATATGATGACTTAAGTTGATGCGCTTCTGTTGCAGCTTCTTCTTGGATTTTTTTATCGGTTACACAGACTTTCATTCTGTAACCTACTGAAAACTTTTTTATTGTATACACTCTTAATAGTGTTCACTACTGTCTTCTGATGCATTTGCTTACATGTATTACACGTTCTGTTTATACTCATCCTAACTCAATGTTCCATTCTTATTTTGTTCAATACCGTTTTAATTATCTTTTTTATAACTTACCTGTAGGTAGGGAAGTGGAATTGACTAATTCATATTTCCATGTGGCGTTAACTGACTTTGGCTGTGCTGTTCGTACAGGCCAGTCTAGTCAGGTCTCATCAATAGCATCTCAACATCAATGGCGGTTTAAAAATATCCTTACCGATTTTGTTGGTGTTAGTCTTGAGAACAATGAATATCTTAATCACAGTGGAAATACAGCTCTTTTAGCTCCAGAAATTGCTTGTACTATCCATCAATCATCTATTGATAATCCTAATCAAATACATATGATTACCAACCAGGATTATGCGCGATCAGATATATGGGCAGCTGCAACATAATTTATCCTTTGTTTGGAATGTCTAACCCATTTGTTGATGGGGTGAGTACTTTTTTATATCTAGTTTTTCTTGTGTTAGTTCAACGTGTGCGCAATCACAGTGAATCATTCGATCTAACTGAGCTACTCCTCATTATGAGTTTCATCTAATCTAAAGCTAAGCAAACATAATACGATTTGGAATTCAAAAACTGGACGGTGACATAATAAACTAGTTTCATAGTCTCATATCCATCCACTGAACCAGTTACTAGCGAACTAGCGTAATACCAAAGAGGAAGAAACTAAACATGTTTGCTTCACATTTCAACAGATGATATGGTACACACTGAAATGTGCGTGTATTCATATTTCGAAACAGTGACCCTAATGATAGACCTCCAGAATAAATAAATTTATTCATTAAAAGTTTGATCAACCAATAAGGGATAAGTCTGAAAAACCGTGGGAAAAACGCTACCATCTCTATTGTAGGAAAAGGCGTTGAAAAGTAACAAAATTGCCAACTTACGTAAGCGCAAACTAAGCTTCTAGAATAAATATTTGGTCTTTCTAACAGTCTCATCTCTCTGAAGAGATGCACCAGCTCTTATAGATCAATGGCCAATTTGTGTGTGGATATAAGAAGAAATGCTATCCTTTTCTAGTTTGTTTCACCCATATTGCCTGTGAGATAACCGGCTATTCATTAAGTGCTTAATTGTCTTATGCATTGCTGCATTCTATTGTACTATACACCTATATTGTGTTCCTTTTGAAGGTGGAATACATCCTATTGATAGCTGTTACCTCGATGCGGTGGTTGTGTTTGTAAATCAGAATGATCCAACGAGCTATCCTTTGGGTTACTTATTCTCTCAAGGTCCTACCATACCGAATATGTCACTTGAATAGTGGTAGACAAAACTCATTTATTGTTGTAGTGAGAATTGCTATGCATGGGGTTTTAAGGGAGAAGTCGTACTGCTGGCTGAACGGGAGAGTGACAGCGGTAAGGTTATTCTCGCAGATAACTACCAGAGCCACACTAATGCTCCTTTCCTGGTATGAAGAGGAGAGGAGAAAAGGTTAGCCCTAAAAATTGCACATTCTTTTCCACCTCGTGGCATACCAATCTTGGTGATATAAAGAATAGCTGGATTCAAAAACAAATAAACTAAAATTTAACATCTAAAAATGGCTGCATGTGACGGGCCTCAAGCAGATGACCATTGGGGGTTACGATCACGCACTAAGACTTGTTTTAACTTACGCCAAGAAGAATTATCCTTCCATGGTATAGGCAGCCGGAAAATTTCAACTACCTTCACATCTCTTTCAGTTCTCAAGTCCTTTCGCATCATTACTAAGCAATACAGAGTATATGTGGTCACATGTATTTGATTGTAGGTACCTTCGAAGCATCTCTCACTATATTAATAAAGAACTAGTTGATATTTCGCAAGTTAACTATGGGATTTCAACAAGGGAAGACAAAGGAGTCAATAAAGTTGTCGATATTCACTAACTGAAGTGGCCAAGAATGATAAAGTTGAATAAGAATGGGGAAAGATGACATCCCTTATAGAAACCACTCGATGTACACAATTCACGTGATAACACACCATAGGCTGTAACACATCCACCGGTGTTCGAGTACAGATCCTCCAACAAACTGATGTACTTACGCTGCACTTGTTTCAGTGAGAGACACTTCTATAAGACCTCTCGATCGATGGAGTGGTACACCACCTTCAGACCCAGAAATACAGCTAGTGTCGTATGTCTTAAAGTGTACCTATGTTACAGAACGTGGCTGAGAGTGAATATTTGGTCGAAACACTCACGACCAGGTACGAAACCTACCTGTCTGGTCTCCTCAGGTTTGTTGTTCCTGAGTTCCTCCCCAGACGCCTTAGAGTTATAGAACGCATAATCCTAGACATTATGTTCGTCAAGCTGATTCTTCTGTGGTTAGCACAGCCAATTTGGTCACCTTTTTGAAGACTGAGAGTATCAGTGATTGGGATCATGTCTCACTCCTATGCGTTAGCTAACACTTCAGTTAACCTGTGAGTGAATTATAGACCCATCCTTTCCGTATGTATTTTCACCAACCATTGTTCTTTTAAGTAGCTGTCTACTTTTATCTATCACCGTCGCCTTTCCCTTTTCTCTCTAGCCTTTTCTACCTGCCACTGCTCATTATCTTTACACGGACTCTTTCATTTTGTATTTCAGCAGTTTTGACTCTTTATTGCTTTCATGGGCTTCAAAAATGCATTGACGAGTATCTATCAGTGCAGAAGCTGTCCAGACGCAGCGGCCCTTTCTGACCTTTTCACGGGAGTCAGTGACGGTCTTTAAAGCTGTTTCTACAACAAACTAGGTTGAAGACGTTATTCTGTTTTGATAACGGTGTAGGTAGTTCCTCACTTAAAACGACCTTAGTATTCTCATCGTCAAGCTGTGCTCGCGATGGTCTTTTTGCTGTAGCTTTCCCATGACGTGTACAGATGTACGTGTGGTCCACGAGGGGGCAATCGTTCACTGACCGGCTTCAGCGGCGACTGATAGCAATGAGGTCTGCATGTGTCCACAGCTAGTTTGAAGTCGACCGAGGCCGTTCCTCGCCAGAGGATGTCTTCACGTCTGAAGTTCAAGTTAGCCAGAAATAGATGATTGTCTGATGGCAGTTAAAGCGAACGATCGTCGTTATGTGTCCGTTCGGTTGGAATTCCAAAAGGCCACCTAAGTGCCTTTCTGTCTAATTTATTTCAACCGTTTTTGCTTTGGAGTCACTTGCACCGACAACCACGTATGAACTTTTAGCTTTCAGCAGTGGGAGGTTTTAAACAGTTTTCAGCTAAACTCTCACTTCACTCGAACTGCAATCAGTAGGTGCAAAAGCAGAGAATACAAAGAGACAACGGTGAGTTTCACTGTTCTTTTTACTCTCCACTGCACTATTCAACTTACTTGTTCACAGGTAACAGCCACACGGGGTCCAGTCTCTCTGTGTGGTTTCTACCATGGCATTGCATGCTATATCTACACCTTCAAGACTATGAGGACGAGCCATAGAATCTCCAGCAACTCGGAGGCTGAATCTCACGGATTCAGTACATTAACCCCGTGAGGTTAAGTGAATAAAAGCCCTTGGGTCCCTTCTTTACGTGCTTCACAAACGTAGCGTACACCATGGCTCGAGATCCCAGATATTCGGCTGGTGAAACATGACTTGTTTGACGGAGAGTGTCAACATTGAAAAAGCTAATAGGCTGCTTAAAGAGCGGTTTCAGGGGATCATGGATTTGATGGGAATATTTCGTATTTTCAGCCAGCACACTCAACAAAAGGGGAAAAAGAAATTGTATCAAAATTTCGACTACCGAAATAAGACGAAACGCTCCTGGATTCGGTCCACTCAGACGGGATAATGCAAGCAACAACATTAAAACTATATCCATCGCAAAAGAAGCGGCTATCGTGACTCTGTGGTCTAGTGGATAACGATCTGGAGTTTGAGGCGATCGGTTCCGAGTTCGAGTCTCATTGGGAACAACACCGCTCACTGTAGGGCAGATGTATCCAGCTGACGAGTCCCAAATAGGACAAAAACCGCGTCCTAGATTCCACTGCTAGCAAATATTTATCATTAATACCAAAGTAATTATTAAGTACAGGTAATTGACCAGTTGACACGCCGAACATTCTGAGCAACAACTTAGATCTGGAAGTTGATTCGTGGTTATCCTAAGCTGCGAAGTGGCTTAACCAAGCCGTGTTGCCTCATCATTTTCCTCATGTTTATACCTGCTGGCTTGATGTTTGTCTTATAGTAGCAATGAGGAGTCATAAACCTTCTCTGTTTCGCTGTAAACTTTGAACAACCTATATTTCCACAGCTATTTTGGTTCATTTTTTGTTTGGTGTTCTCCAACTCATGAGAATATCATGTTTAAATTATATATTTTCTTTTATCAACTACTACGGTTTTAAACCTCTCCAGTGCTTAAATTTATTACATAGTTATTAGTAGTGCAAGGATACGTTTTTCACCCATTTGCAGACACTTTCTTCTGCCGACTATACGGAAAGTTCTTTACCTCAACTTCCTCCTGAGTCTCCGAAAATTATGACATGGATTCTACATAAATGTCTTAAACGTGATCCCTTCGAAAGACCCAAAGCTGATGAGATTGCTGATATTCTGCATACTTGGTGTCTGATTAGACATTTGCATCGTAGACAAAAAACTGGTGTATTCAAAGACTTATTCCAACCTCAGATAAATGGAATAATTGCAGATGTAAGTTATAGTACATTAGGGATGTCAAATGTAATTAATTCTTAATAAATTTAATTATTTTTTTAATTCTGAAAAATGTAAGATGATAATATAAAACAGGAGTTTCATAGTGATTTATAATCATGTCTGAATGCTGAGCTAAAGATGATACAAGTGTAATAATTTTAATGCAACTTTGAGATTTGACGTTTCCAATATTATTGTTGAGTAGTGATTTTTTTCTTCTTACTGTGATACCATCATAATTATAAATCTTGAGATTGTTTAGACTTTGATAGTTAGTTACTAGTTTTTGTTTTATATTACGAGACTATCTGAATACATTCGCAACCATTTCATAAGTGGGGGATTTTTCAGCTCTGTTTCTCATAGTGATCTTTAGGCTTACTAGTTTGTGAGGGTAGAGAAATTTTAATGTCACATGTTGACCTTTTTTTTATTACCTTAAAGTTATTTCAGCGAATCATGCTCAAAGACGAATTCTTGTGAAGGTGAATCTGTAGTCATTTTGCTACTGAATTGATCATTTTTCAGTTGATTGAGAAAGAGAGAGATTCGTTTTTAGTTCGTTGATCTTTATTTCATCTGAATTCTCTTTCAATAGCTAGTCCACTTTATAAATTTCAGCAAAATAATAACATTTTTTGTTTGGTACGTGTGATTTCCCGTTGCTGTGCAGAGTGTTATTACTTGGCTTTTGTTGACAGATGGGCTCCTATACAGATGCCTGGATACACCCAGAACCCAATACGATTTTTATGTGTAACCTTTTTTGTTTATAAAGATAGAAAATATCAACAGCTTTAATCAGTCTTAATGTACAAAGTTACAGTACAAAAAGTCAACATTATATGATGTTACCATCTACGCTTATTCCATAACTGATCAAAGCTTGGTTTTGGAAATCAACGGAAGCACATATATTTTTAGCGCATCATGAATACAAACATTTTGTAAGCTACGAATAATTTTTGAAAACCAATGGCCTATAGTTCAACGATATTCGAGTTTCATACTGACTTTCATATTTTTCAACGAACTTGTTGACTGAATGTACACGGCCAAAATATCTACTCCTTTTGAAATGTTGATATGTTACGTTGCGTTGCTCCTTCATAATCCCCTAGCCATTTAGCTTACACATCTCGTTATATCAGTACCGCACAATAAATATGCAATTTCTAATTGACTGCCGAATTGTCTCCTTACTTGATATCACAGTTGTAGGTATCCAACAAGTTCCATAAACTAGTTGGTGGTTTTCGCCGTCTGTTGAAATCACACATCACTTCTAGACGTCTAAGGATAAATCAAAACTTTACAACAAATATAGTAGTTACTCTCCACAGCTACAGGTCAGCTCTATGGCAAAATTTTTTGCACCAGTTAAGATGCTCACCGTATATTATACTCCGTTGTATATTTAGCTACTTTCAACATGAACGCTTATGACTTCTCCCTTTATTTTCACCAAGTAGGTAGTTTTTGGTGAATAAAATACCTGTTTGATAAGATAGTAAGATGTCTGCGCATCACTCAGCCGTTCATAGAGATACCGATCTTGCTGAATGTCTGTAAGTTTCCATATAGTGCAGTCTAGTCTTTCTTTGAATCTTAAACTAAAAACTGATGAGTTGACTAATTCAAATATAGTAACTGATAATTCAAAAAGTAAAAGCTAACTAGTACCAACCTACTTTATAAATGGAAAGAGATAAAGCCAACTATTAGTTCAGAGGAATTACATACATAATAGGTGGATTAGACATGTATTTCGAATGCCAAGTCTCCACCTATCTCGACGTGCTAAGCTACCAGAAGTTGGATTCTACAGTAGGGAGGCTGAGAGTGTCATCCATCTATGAAGTATCTGGCTGTTTGACTTGAACCGTGTTGAAAGGTGCAAACTACCTGGCTGGGTTCCTTAAGACCATAGGAATAAATGGTCGAAAATTCTTGGTGAAATGTCTGATAATCAATCACAACAGTGCAAATGTAATTACTTTTGACATTTTCTAAAGCTTGAATATTTTCCCTAACTTTCTTTTTAAACTCCTTCTCCTCCTAAACACCTTTGTCTACTTTAATATCAGTCGTTTTGTATCCACTTGTACTTTTCATGCCACTGTAAATTATGATAACCTAAACCTCCGCAATTCTGTACGAGGTCCTAGGTTGATTTTGTCTTCCTGACATAACCGGGGAACTACCATGTTACGTACATAATTCAGCAAGACGTAACTTGCTGCTAGCTTTACTCTTGAGCTACGAACTATAAGCTCTTTAACTGTCTACAGCTATACTCCAATGGGTCCTAGGTAACACACCCACAATTTGCATATCTCACAACTGTATTTTTTAAAACATACTTTAATAGTTTCTCCAAATTTAATAACAATGAGTTTTTCTCACTCTCGAGCTTTCAGATTCCCCCATTACCAGCTGGCTTTACACGAGTACCTCACCTTATTCACTATAATATTTTGGGGCTTACTCGTCTACCCCAGGTGGTTAGCTTACAAAAATTCGCTCTACTTTCGAACAGATAAGATCGTTAACCCAAAGAACCTGAATTATCGTGAAGAGTCACCCCGAATGTCTATTCTTTTTACTTCCTGCACTACCGCTTGAAGTTTAATTTCAGGTTCGACACTGCGCTTTATATTATAACTCAAATACCAGACCCAGTTTCAGTGCGTATTACGGTATTTTTGCAAACAAGTACAGTAAAAGTTTTCAGTTGCCTCTGCAAATATAAAGCATGTAAGATTTGTGCTGAATCTTAACTAAATACTTCTTGAGAGAAGCAACTTTGGCACAGTAAAGCAGTGAGATGCATACTGAACTGAATGTAAGAAAAAAAAGTAGTAGCTGTACATACTATGTACCTCATATAACATTGATCATACACCAGTTATAGGTGGATGAACTGGTTTTCAATACAAAGCTACATCAGCAAAAACTAGTTACTTAATGTAAAGATTCTTTTTTGCAAAATTGTAAAGGCAATAATGTATTGATGAAATATTTTATATGAGTTCACTAAAGTGTTTACTGAAGGTTTGGCGACTCATGTTACTCTCGAGTTATCTAGACGGTGAAAAAAGTAAGTTTTGAATAAATCGTAAGTCCTAGTCTTTAGGTTTTCCAGAAGAGAAGATAATAATACGAAGCAAATCAGCCTTAAGAAATACATAGTGAGATCCTAATGCAAATGTTGAATTGATTTGTCTTGGTAATGAAGGTTAAAATCACTTCAGAAGGAAAGTTCTCTCCCTGGCATTGCGAAATACAAAAATTGATATGATTTATAGAAAGTGTGGAGCCCAAATGAATATTCAGCCGGTTAGCGATCAGTCAGTATCAACATAGAAACTAGGCAATACTGCAAAACGGTCCAAGTTGCCACACCTCGAATCAACTCAACAAGTAACAAAGCAGTAAGATGAAAGATGAAGGAGGAGAGAAAAACCAGTTGAAAACAGTAAAAAGCATTATAAGAGAGGAAGGAGGAGTGAGAAAATGCTGAGTTCAGTATAGCAGTTAAGATAAAGATAAAGTGTGAATATATCTGCGCCACTGACATCGATTCTGAGCGATATCACTTAGAGTCTCCAACTACTAGTCTCTCTTGTCCCGCAGACCTTCACTGACTAGTCTGCATCGCTCTACATGGCTTAAGCCAACAGTCAAGGACTCCATGCATTGATTCAGTGTTTTGGTCTGACCTCCGCGAGCCTTTTCCCAGTCTGAACCTACTTCGGCCAACATTGTGCGACGATGAAGATGATGGCAGGCATACGTAACACATGTCCAAGCCATCTCATTCGATAAAGGTTCGCGACCGCATCAGCTATCTCACCTCTCCTACGTAAAACTATACACCTGACTTCTGCGTTACTCAAGTGGTGACACCACGAAAGACGCCCTATGCTACGAAGGCAACTATGGTCAAACACCTGAAGCCTTCTCATGTCTTCTCCCTTTAATGATCATGTTTCATAGCCATAGAGTAGAACAGAGCGGACTACAGCACAGTACACTCGACTCTTGATAGACAAAAGGACACCGAAGTAGTGTCACTGGTGGAGTGAGTTGGCGAAAGTCAACCGAGCCTTTTGCATCCGTGTGGAGATTTCATCGGCCACTGAGCCAGCCACCAGGGTTGATCTGACTTCCCATGTAAGTGAAATATTCTGCTCGCTCAACCACTTACTCTCTGTTGTTAGCCCGGGTATCGTTGAGGACCGGTCCTGAAGTAACAATTTGCATTTGGATGGTGAGAAACGCATCCCAAACATTCTTGAATTGTCACTCAAGGTGCTCAGAAGACTCTGCATTTAATCAGAGTCTTCACCTAACAGGACTATGTTATCTGCGTATTCTAGACCTGCCAAAAATTCTCCTGTGATCACGTCAATCCTTGTCTGGTCAGATGATGAGATTGAGACCTCCATAAGGAAGTCTATGATAAAGTTGAATAGGAACAGTGAGAGTGGGCATCCTTGACGATCACCAATCGATGGACGCAGCTCACCTGACATCTCACCATAGGCTCTAACACCCCACAGGTGTTAGAGTAGAGAGCCTTAATGGGGTGATGTACTTATTCGGTACCTCTCTCAATGAGAGCAAATGCCATAAAACCTCTCGATGGATGGAGTTCAGTGCTACCTTCAGGTCGACAAATACAGCTAGTGTCGTGCTTCGATAACTGTGTCTGTATTTTGGAACCCGGCGGGGTGGTAATATCTGGTCAACCCACTCACAGTTAGGTCTGAAGCCTGCTTGATTTTCCTGAGCCTCCTGTTCTTGAGCTCCACTCACACGTCTAATGACTAGTGAACTTAGAATCTTCAATGCTGTATTCGTCAGGAGGACGCTTCATCTTTCTTGAAGACTAGAACAATCAGTGATAGAGAGAACCACATCTGACTCCCACACACCAGTTAACACTTTAATAACTTTACTAGGAATCCTTGAACACCGTCCTCAAATACCTCTGGAACTAGTCCATCTGGCTCTGCTGCTCCTCCTCGCCTCAGATTACCTACAACTTTCTAGATTTCTGCGGATGTTGAAGTGGTATCTTGATGTTTCATTCAGGTTCCAAATGGATAACGGGCAACGAAATAGAAGCTGGAGGCCAGTATAACTGTCCGTTTGAGTGTTCTGCCCATCGTTCCAGTTATCTCCCCCGCGAATAAATCGCTAACCCATCATTCTCCCCTATCGTCTCACTAACCGTTGACCTTTTTGCTCCAGTTGCCTTGAAAAGTCTAAACAGCTGTCTACTGTTACCTATTGCTTCTGCCTCTTCCATCCCTTTAGCCTTCAGTGCCCACCGCTGTTCACGGTTATAGCGTAACTTTTCGTCAGTTTACATTTTGGTTGCCTCTGCTACTCATTATGATCGGGGACTATAGGGATGCCACCAAATGCATCCAATAATTCCGAAGATGTCAGTGAGATCCACCGGCCCTCTGAGAATCGGCTGTAATTTTCATCGCTGCCTTCATAGCAGACTAGAGGTGGCGCCAGGCTTTTTATGGAAGAGTGGTTTCTTCTCGTTGCGATGACTGTCTAGCCAGCTTTTTACTGAAAGTGGCCTTTCTGCTCTCATTGTTGAGCTCCACTTGCAATAGTCTTGCTGACGTAGTTTTCCTGTATTCACTTTGACATAGACATATATATGCTCAAATAAATGAGTGATTCCTGTTCCAACGTATGCTGCAGAAGGAGCGGCAGTCCTCCACTGACCCTCTCTACCTATGACTGATAACAGTGTGGCCTATCTGCGTTCACCGCTGATTTCAG